AATAGAATAGAATAGAATAGAATAGAATAGAATAGAATAGAATAGAACTTTCTTCTAACAGAAATATGAATATGTTGGACTTGGAGTGATATGGATGGAAGAGCAGGGAAGGCAAGGACTGAGAAGATGGTAATTCTGTGGTGAAGGGAGACATGGAGTTAATTGAGTTCCATGTGCCTGGTGATACTAAGGGACTATTGTAATTTCATCTCCAGTTTTGCTGAGATACTTCTGACAAATTTTTTAGTATAGAAAGCTGAAGAGTGACAGGAATTATATTAGGCAATGCAGCTTGAACAATGCTTGCCATTTATTGAGACTCATCCGATATTTTCTAGTTACAAAGGACTTTGGGGGACTTTTGATGTATGGTGCACGCACGTGCCATAAATTGGAAATACAACAAAATGAAAAGTAGATGAAAGAAACACAAGAATGCATGTCAACTGTTCCTTAAATAAAGAGGCCACAGTAAGATAGCAATTCTCCAGTTACTAAATTGGAAGATGTAAAGGTGCAAGATGTTTTGTGTAGAAGACTTCCCCACTCCACCTCACCCCTGCCATTTCTTTCTATAGTCAATGGACTGAAATCAAGCAGTCAGCCCTAGACATTGTCAGATTAGACACTAATGGCATAGTGGACTGCTGGCAAAGCTCATCAGATGTTTTCACACACCTGCAAGAGGAACAACTGGAAATGAAGATGCTAGATTTAATCCATGTACTTAGCTTCTCAGCAGAAACAGAGAACTTTAACATTAGTGAAGCTTCCTTAGAGTTCTGAGCCTTTCATAGCCAGCACTAGAATCCATTGCTGACTTCAAGAGTTTGCAGTCCTGCAATTGTTCTTTTTTAATTATTATTCTATCCTTTCATTAGGGAGTAGAGAGGAAAAAAATAGGAAAGGGGAGGATGAGCTGTTAGGGCTGCCACCTATTCTACCTGGTTGCCTTCTTTCCCTCTTAAGACAGATACAGAGGTTTAAAACCAGAGGTGGCATTCAGCAGGTTCTGACCAGTTCTGGAGAACCAGTAGCGGAAATTTTGAGTAGTTTGGAGAACCAGCAAATTCCACCTCTGACTGGAGATTTTACAATATCCTTCCCCTGCCACGCCCACCAAGCCACACCACAGAACCGGTAGTAAAAAAAATTGAACCCCACCACTATTTAAAACCTAGAGTAAGCTCAGATCACCTTTGCCTGCTTTAGATATCATTTGTCCTTCTTGCAGCCACAGCAGAAAGGAAGAAAGGAAGAATAGAGTAAAAGCTAGCAGTACACATAGTACTCAACTATATCATCATTTGTTCAACAACTGTCCAAAGTTAAAATGACCTTGGAAAAGGGACTCACGACCTGTATTTGCATTTATAAACATTACAAATTGTTGTACCACCCCCTGAAGTGAATCACATGGTTGCAATTTAGGCACTTGGTAACCAGGTCATATTTATGACTGGTTACAATATACTGCAGTCAAATCATCCTAATTTTAGAAAGGTTTGGCTAGCAAAACAATGCCAATTGTGGAACTTGTATTATTTGAACAACCATGTGATTCACAGAGACTTGTTTTACAATCATTGTAAAAATGGTTGCAAAATTGGGTCTGGTCACATGATGACTCTACTTTTGACGGAATAGCAATTATGGCAGCTTGTCTTTCTCCGGCCTTACCAGCAATGCTAGATGGTGCTAATAAAAATATTCAATATTTAGGGCTATGAAAATTTGCCTTTAACCAGTGCAGGGGAAACGTGTGACTGTGTTAACTACAAAATTCAGTGGTGAAATAAATATACGACAGGTACACAATTCAGGTTTTTTTTCCCACACCAAAGCCTCACAATGCTTGCACCTTCTTCTCTGTACTCGACTGTGTAGCCTGAAATGGTACAGTTGCCTGTGCTGGATGGAGGCAGCCAGCGGAGAATCACTGAAGTGCAACTTCTTTCCTGAGCAATAGGCCGATTTGGGGCAGCTGGAACCCCTGGGATGGGGAAAGAGAGAAGAAAGAAACCATTAGCAGAGACCTAGAGGAGAATTTTGGAGTCCCAGTTAAAGAGCAAAAAGAACATCTGAGGAGCAAACAATAGGGAAAATTAAGTCATGAGAAAGAGTATTTCTCTCTTAGAAGTGCTTCTTTAATCCAGTTTTTTTTTAAAGAAATGTAGCCTACAGGACAGATTACATTTCTGATTCAACATAATCTAATTTTAAAATGCATTATTTTTAGTGCAGTTTAATGTAATTGCTGATTGTAACCAGTAATCTCTATTACCTAAACATTGGAAAGGTGTAACTTTTAAAGGGTATTTGAAATTCAGAAAAAAAGCACAGAAAACGGAAGGAGGCAGGCATGTTTTCCTGCTATATATTAAGTTATTGTGTCAAGTTATTATCAGTCATTCGGCACTTAACAGTCAAGATCAAGTGAGGTACTAATACCACTCGATAAAGCCTTAGTAAGACCACACCTAGAGTACTGCATCCAGTTTTGGTCACCACACGATTAAAAAAGATGTTGAGACTCTAGAAAAAGTACAGAGAAGAGCAACCAGGATGATTAGGGGACTGGAGGCTAAAACATATGAAGAACAGTTACAGGAACTGGGCTTTGCTACTCTAGTAAAGAGAAGGACAAGGGGAGACATGATAGCAGTCTTCCAATATTTGAGGGGCTGCCATGGGGAGGAAGGGGTCAATCTAAAGCACCTGTAGGCCAGACAAGGAATAATGGATGGAAACTGAACAAGGAGAGATTCAACCTAGAAATAAGGAGAAACTTTCTGACAGTGAGAACAATCAATCAATGGAACAGCTTGCCCTCAGAAGTTGTGGGAGTGCCATCACTTGAGACTTTCAAGAAGAGGTTGGACTCCCATTTATCAGAAATGGTGTAGGGCAGTAGTTCCCAAAGTGGGTGGTACTGCCCCCTGGGGGGCGGTGGGATGCCTCAGGGGGGCAGTAAGAGGCAAGGGGGCTGGCAGAGGGGCGCTAAGAGGTGGCAGGGGGGCATTCGAGGTGCCGGTCCCACAGGCTCACTGACTTCTGGCCATGTAGCCCATTGACTGTTTCATTGCTCTGTAGCTGGCGCCTCAAATGTAGAACCTGTGCGCAGTGAGCCTTGCCAAGCCTGGAGGGGGGGAGAGGTGGGAGGTGGTGGAAAGAGGGCACCTTAGCTTGCAGGCTGCCCTCTCCGGTGGAAGAGGCATGCCAGAAGGCCGGAAAGCAAAACCCTCCCAAGGTGTACAGTAGAAGGGGTGGGTGGTCTGGCATTCTCCTTCCCTGGAGGAGAACAAGGGAGCGTGCAGCGCCCTACCGGCCTCTGCCTCTCCAGTCAAGACCTTGTTGATGATCCAAACTCTGTCAAGGATCCTGGAGTACTCATCTCTAATGACCTAAGTGCTAGAGCCCACTGCAACTACATAGCCAAAAAGGCATTAAGAGTTGTTAAGAGTTGTTAATCTTACAAAGCTTTTTCTCTGGTAATATTACACTAATAACTAGATACAAAACATTTGCTAGACCAATACTTGAATACAGCTCAAAACATACAAAACATTTGCTAGACCAATACTTGAATACAGCTTGTCAGTCTGGAACCCACATTACGTATCTGATATTAACACAGCTGAGAAAGTCCAGAAATATTCCACAAGAAGAGTTCTCCACTCCTCTACTCGTTGCAGAATACCTTATGCCCCCAGACTCAAAATTCTAGACCTAGAAAACCTAGAACTATGCTGCATTTGGCCCGATCTAAGTATAGTATATAAAATCATACATTGCAGTGTCCTTCCTCTCAATGAATACTTCAGCTTCAGCCATAACAACACAAGAGCAAACAATAGATACAAACTCAAGGTTAATCGCACCAAACTTGATTGCAGAAATATGACTTCAGCAACAGAGTGGTCAATGTCTGGAATACTCTACCCGACTCTGTAGTTTCTTCCCCAAAAACTTTAACCTTAGACTGTCTACTATTGACCTCACCCCTTTCCTAAGAGGTCTCTAGGGGGCGTGCATAAGCGCACCAATGTGCCTACAGTCCCTGTCCTATTGTTTCTTTTATTTTTCTTATATGTATCCATGTATTCATAACTATGTTTTTACTTATACCTATTATCTTGTAAGCAATTGACAAAAATAAATAAATAAATAAATAAAATTGCTGAGGTTGAGAAAGACTGTTTTAAAGTTTACGCTTGTGGAAAGAACATATGTATGAAATGGATCGATCATGAGATCTTGAAATCTTCTGTTGATTGTTAATGTATATGGGTGTGGAAAGGCAGAGAATTACCAAAACCGGCAGCTGAGGAGATGATTAAACATGTCCTCTATTTACTAATGCTAGAACATTATAGAAAGGAAAGTACTATTTTTCAAGGGATTATAATCTGTGTAAATTTACCTCAAAACCCAATTTTCCATGTGAAAAGTGGGGATTTTTTTTTAATGAAAAGGAAGAATTTAAACTTGCAGTTGATAACATGCAGTTTCAAATGGTATGTGCCAGTGGTGGGATTCAAATTATTTTTTTTACTACCGGTTCTGTGGGTGTGGCTTGGTGGGTGTGGCAGGGGAAGGATACTGTAAAATCTCCAGTCCGTGGTGGTATTTGCTGGTTCTCTGAACTACTCAAAATTTCCGCTACTGGTTCTCCAGAATTGATCAGAACCTGGTGAATACCACCTCTGGTATGTGCTGAAGAAGTCTCTAAAGCAGGGATGTCAAACTCACGGCCCGCATGCTGGCCATGCCCACACCCAGTTTAGCGAAGGGGAAAAAAGTCCCGATACATCATGTGAGGACACGCGTTGACACCCCTGCTCTAAAGTCTGTATAGGTTCACTCCCTGAGTCTGGCTCCTGCTGACTATATTCATGTATTTGGGGCAGCAGTACAGACATGGCTTGCTGCTACCTCCTTCTAGGATTCAAGTTCCAGATGTAGCCCTCATCTTAGATATGGCCTGCTGGCCTTCCAGCCAAGTCTGTATCATCTCACATTTCTCAGCTTTAAGGGGGATTAGCTAAGGTCAAGGCAGGATGGTGGCCCTTTGTTGTGGCTATAAAACCTGAATATGTAGAGAAGTTTAAAAATCCTTTCTCTCTCAGGCTTCTCAGGCCATAAGTCCAAGATGAGAAACCATATAACCATTATTTTCTTACAGAAATTTCTTACACATATAATAATGCATGTTTCCAAGCAAATGATGCTTTCCAAATATGTCCAATTAAAGTGCGGCCCATTTGCATTCTCGTTGACACTTGCAGAGACCTCCTTCCAAGTAAATGAGACCAAACTGCTATTATTAATGCTACTTTTACTACTGGGGGAGAATTGGCCTTTGTTTACCCTATTACCTGCTTCTCCTGAAACACCATGATTAAAGTCAATAACATTTCGTCAAACAAACTATAAAAAAGATTTTATACAACAGGCCCCATGTACTTGGAAAGGAAAATCCATTACCTTGTACTTTGATCGTTGCGGATGTGGATACTGTCCCAAGTTCATTTGTGGCCACACAGGTGTAAATGCCACTGTCCTGAGGCATCACGTTGCAGATCTTTAGGGTAATGTCACCTGATTCACTAGAGGGCCACAGAAGTCAAAAGGTTAAATTGAAATTCTGTCAAGTGGCTTCTCTCCAGAACTTAACTGTTTCAAGTGTTTCTGGCAATTAGAGTCATGGGTTTGAGATGGGAGACTACAAATCAAATCAAGTCAATCAACCAACCAATCAATTAATATCAATTGATCTGGAAAGTGAAAACCAATGGAAAAATAGACAAGATGTGCTCTTTTCATTGATTCTATGGACATTAGTCACACAAAAGAAAAGCAATAATTTACTGATGGGTATTGGTTCACACTGCCCTGTTTAATGAATGTGATTGGGATTGTAATGATTGAAAAAATGGAATAGTTTTGCACTATAACTATATGGTCTATTCATACTGTGCAGATCGGGAATTTGGAGCCTATGTGAAGTAAGGTTCTTGTTACTAGTCTTTCTTCTCCCAAGGATTTTTTTAAATGTAATTTTTTAGTAGGAAGCTAACCTTTGGCTAAAAAAAAAAAGAACTCTAGCTGTGAATATCATATTTATTCCCAAGAATGCTTCTTGCTCCATATAGACAGGAGATAAAGACAATGAGTGGCTTTACTGAGAACTTTGGAAGTGTAGTTACCTATCTAGAAAACAACAAAGACTGAAGTGAGCTAGAAGAAGCAGAAGAGCCTCGTTCGGGCATGCCATCTTCCCTTGTTATTCAAGGCACAGTATGTGACTAACCAACCCCATCTTGCCTGCCTTGTTGTGAATGCTCCAATTCTCCACAGCAGCCACAGGGACAGGTCTCCAGAAAGCACAGAATTCAATTGATCAGCCCCAATCCTGATCAAGAGATGCTGAAGAACTCACTTCCAGGGTGTTTGGGACACTAACCAACATGATTTAAGGTAACTGAACACTAAGATCATATTTACACTTGGACATTCCTTTGACTCTTAACCTTCTTTTAAAGGTTCCCCTCACACATACGTGCTCATCTCCATTACAAAGCTGAAGAGCCAGCGCTATACAAAGACATCTCTGTGGTCATGTGGCTGGCATGACTAAACACCAAAGGTGCACAGAACGCTGTCACCTTCCCACCAAATTGGTCCCTATTTTTCTACTTGCATTTTTTGCATGCTTTCAAACTGCTGGGTTGGCAGAAGCTGGGACAAGTAACGGGAGCTCACTCCATTACGCAGTGCTAGGGATTCGAACTGCCAAACTGCCAACCTGCCTGATCGACAAGCTCAGCATCTTAGCCATTGAGCCATTGCATCTGCCTTCTTTTACTTTTATTTTAAACTTCTTTCACTGTTTATCAAACTACCTATACAAACATAGCAGTCATACCCGATGATGCATACAATGGATAACTTATAGTAACACAGGATTATTAAACTTTGCAGATGAAGGTGGAAATGATACAATAAAATGAACAGATGGAAAGTTCCTATGGGCCAAAAACAGAATAATGAACCCATCTCCCATGCCATTGTTGGGGCTCTCCTCCATGTTCCAATAGTTAAATAGCAGTTGTTAGCAACTTTCAGAGCACGGGCCTAAACTTGTCTTCCTTTCCTGGAATCAGCATAAATTCTTGAGATTGACAAAGGGCCAGAAAAACCTGCCATACGGCAATTGTGATGTCTTACAGAAGGTATTTCCTTGTAGAGGTGCAAAGGAATCCTTAGGAAGCCTTTTCCTTCTTATGCCATGAGAATATTCTTATCCAGCCTTAGATCTTAACAAGGTTTCTAAAATGCAATAGGAGCCCTTACAAGAATATTGCTTTAGCAACTGATATATACTGCATCATATTTTCAGGAGGTTTCATGGATCAATTCAATTCTGATTTGGACTTTTCTTTGAAAATGGTGTAAAAATCTCCTTGAATTCCACTTGATACAGGGCATACACCAGTGATGGGATTCAATTGATTTACTACCGGTTCTGTGGGCATGACTTGGTGGGCATGGCTAGGTGGGTGTGGCCATGTGACTGGGTGGGCATGGCTCTTTTTTTTTTTTTTTGCTTTTTTGCAGTTGCCCCCCTCTACTCGTTTTTGGGGCCTTCTAGGCCTCTGAAGAGCTTCTGGGGGGGGGGTTTGCTCCCAGAAGGCTCCTCTGAGGTTCAGGAAGAAAAAAAATACAGCATGGGAGGGGCATGCAGCACCCCTCCACGCTCCATTTTGGGACCTTCCTGGCCTCAGAGGAGCCTCAGGGGTGTGTGTGTTTTTGCTCCCCTAAGACTCTGGAAGACAAAAAATGGAATTTTTTTTTTGCCTCCCTGGACCTCAGTCAGGGGAATTGCAGCACAGCTGATCATATGAACAGCTGATTGTCAGGAAGGAAAAAAAAAAACACCTTAAGGGACCAGCATCAGATGAGTGGGGCGAGCAAGCATCGGGAGTGCGGGGCAAGCGAGCCAGCGACTGGGTCGGGGGCATGGCCAGCCAGAACTTACTACCGGTTTGGCGACCCACGCGAAATCCTTGCTACTGGTTCACCTGATCCGGTCACCACTGGTGTACACTCTTTTGAAGAAAGGTTGGGCATGTGACCAAACCTCTTCCTTCTTATGACTTATTATGGCAAATTGTATGGCTTGATTGAGAAATTGATTAACACCTCTCTTAACAAAGAAATGTGCGGGTTTTTTGTATTTTAATGAAATACATTGGTGATAATAGACATGGGCTTCTATTTCTAGGATTTTTTTTTTCTTGAGATGAGTTGTCTTAACTATCCGATTCCAATCTACCTGGTTTATATACTCTCCAACCAGTATAATGTGCAAATATGTCCATATTCATTCTGTTGGATCTATTAATAGCTGTCACATTATTTGGGGAAATTTTAAGTAACAAGATCCTTTTAGTCGTTGTCTCCTGTTGCGATCCAACATGCTTGCTGTTGGATGAGCTTGTGAAAATAAATTCAGATAATTTTTTTTAAAAAATCAGTTTTTAAATTCGAAACATTTTGATCTATTTTTCAAAAATATACTACTTCTTTTCACTGATTTATGAAATTGATTGCAATGATAAGGTACTCTGAGGGCTACCAATCTTTATAACAGAATATAAAGGTGCAAATAGAAGGTACCCAGGTTGTCTGCCTGTGAATACTTGTCATCAGATGTAACTTAATAAAAAAATTGTCACAATAAGTTTATGAAATTAACTTTCTTCCCTTTATTACAATTACACAGATTTGCTATATTGATTCAGTAACCCCCTTAATCCATTCATTGTTTCAGCAGAATCCTGAACGTAAAGATTGAACATACCAGGAGGTAATCGTAATGGCAGCGGTGCTGCTGTCATTGTCAAGTATGTTTTGATCCGGTCCTTTCCAGGTGATGGTTGGTTTGGGCCGCCCACAGACTTTGCACTGCAACATTACGGTGTCTCCAAGTAAGCAAGTGATATCCACTAAGGGCACGAGAAACTCAGGAGCAACTGGAGTAAATGCCATACACAGAGACACATCACTCTCACACGAGACATCAACGATTTTCATTTGAAATACTGAAACAGCTGTCAAGCAAGGAGTTGTGTTTTTTTGGTCCAAGAAAACTCCTGCTCCACAGAAAATAGGAAAAATATTCCTTCTTCTTCCCATTTCTGAGGCATGTTTTCAGAAATGGGGAAAAGAGAAATCCTCAAAGAGCTTAGAAGATTTACCACCATGGTCTAAAGGATCAACTCTGGTATGAAGCACATTTTTTTCATAATACAACATTGAATTCTTATATATTAATATACTGAACATTTTAAACAAGATTTGTGATGAATTTCCTCATAAAACCATGCTTGTAAATTTTTTGAAATAGATATGATTATAATCTGCCATCCAATCAATGTCAACTTTTAGTGACTACAAAGATTGTTTTTCTTCATTACAAACTATTCCTAATCTGACCATTCAAGTCTTCCATTGGTTTTGAAATAGAATTATGGGATATATTTTCCCAATTATTTATACTTTGATTGGTTTTTATCTTTGTCATTTCTGGATATTTGGGTTGTTTTGTTGTTTTAAAAAATGTAAGCAGCATGGGTGTTTATATTTTAATGAAAAGGCAGGTATACATTAATTTAATCAATAGCAATGTTAAGGGCAGATAGCAAGTTTGTATAAATGTGATGCAAAATAAAAGCAAAAAAACCCCTCAGAATAATTTGAAAAGTGCTTAGCTGAAATAAATGAAATAAAATGAATTATAATTCGAACTACCAAATCTGAGCTGAAAAATTTTGGACACTGATTTCTGGATCTCTTTTCGGCCATCCTGTAGTTTATGGATTGTAGCAATTCATATACTGTAGTTTAAATTATATTATGGGGAAAGCAAAGTCAGTTTAATTGGTTCTCAGATATATTCTTTGGGACTGTAGTAAGAATGTACTTAGTATCATGCTTGTCATTATTGAGACAAAATTACCCAGGGTATATTTGGGAAAATAATATTATTTCCTTTTTCATTTTTTAAGCATGGAAAAATAAAGACTTGACAAGCTTATGTCTTTAACTCACCTTCCTGGATGAAATTTGGGTTGATGATCTGAAAAATATATACATAAGTGCACACACACACAAGAAATAGAAAAGGTTTATTTAATTGGTTATTGTAAAAAGAAAATGCTCTCAGAGAGATATAAGTTTTAAAAATACTAAGGAACTGAAAGTACATCCTGAGAAGTCTCATTCTGAATGTTGTGTTTATTGTGACAGCCCCTTCTGACTGCTACATCAAGATTGCAGGATCCTTCAATTGGCCAGATCTTGAAAAGATTTTTTTAAAAGCAGAAATGAGCTAGCATCATGAATGTACTTGTTTCAGACGTGGGATTCAAATTTTTTTACAACCAGTTCTGTGAATGTGGCTTGGTGGGTGTGTCTTGATGGGTGTGGCATGGCTTGGTGGGTGTGGCTTGGTGAGCATGATAGGGAAAGGATACTGTAAAATCTCCATTCCAGAGGTGATATTCAGCAGGTTCTGACCAGTTCTGGAGAACCGGTAGTGGAAATTTTGAGTAGTTTGGAGAACCGGCAAATACCACCTCTGACTGGCCCCACCCCCATCTATTCTCTGCCTCCCCAGTCCCAGCTGATCAGCTGGGTCTTCTTTTGTTGCCCTGCACAGAAACGGAGCTGGAAAGCAGGTTAGTGGGGTGGGGAGGGAATGGGATTTTGCAGTATCGTTTCCCTGCCACACCCACCAAGCCACAACCATTGAGCCACACCACACCCACCAAGCGACGCCCCACAGAACCGGTAGTAAAAAAAATTGAATCCCACCACTGCTCCATTCCCTCCCCACTTCTGGGGGAAGGTTACCCCCGGTTCGCCAAACTCCTCAAAATTTCCTCTACCTGTTCTCCAGAACTGGTCAGAGCCACCTCTGAATGCCACCTCTGATTTGTTTGTAAATGAACCATAGATTTACTGCCCATAATATTTGGTCTTTCCTCCCATTCACTTCCCACGATCAGCAGATTGTCTTCATGAGTGTCTGGGAATCAGATAATTTCTGTAGCTATTGGGAGTTCTAAAGGTGCTTTTTCAAGAGGCAACTGTACTTTGTTTTTCTTTGAAGATGTTTTGTTTTTCATCCAAGAAGCTTCTTCAGCTCTGACTGGATGGTGGGGAATGGATTTATACTCCTTGCAGATAGCTGGTCATCCACAATCTTTTTAGAGAGTCATTGAGGCCCCTTGGAGGTTTGACTATGTCTCAGGGTCACCTGAATAGTGCAAATGGGTGAGGAGCCTTCTTGGAACCACTGAAAGGACTCTGTTGTGGAGCTGTGCTTTCTTCAGGATATTTTCTGCCCTGGGTCCCTTCACTGTTGAACACAGGTGCAGGCTGTTGACCTCCAAGTGGCCTCAACAACTCTTTAAAAGAATGCAAATGACCAGCTGCCAGCAAAAAATATAAATCCTTCCATTCATCCAGTCAGAGCTGAAGAAGCTTCTTGGATGAGAAGTGAAACATCTTCAAAGAGAAACCAGAAAGTCCAGTTGCCTCTTAAAAAAGCACCTTTAAGACAACCATGACCCAGATGACTGAGAATCTCCATAGGCATATTAGAGTTCTACAGCACTTTGGATTCCATTCCAAACAGGTAGTTTAAAGTAAGCAGGAGTGCAACAAAAGCTCTTTAAACCAGCTGTGATTTTTGCTGAGATCATGCTAAAGAACCTCTCTGGAATCAGTTCTGAAGTGCTGCAAAGCTCTAGTTATTATCTGATCATATTTAGCACTACATTTAATCCTCACACACCTAAAAATCACCTTGTTAAAATAGCAGATGAAGCAAAACAGTCCAGGGCTGTAATTGTATTCAAGTGCTTTAGATAAAATAAGTAGAGCTTGCTCAACTTTAGTTCAGAAATCTCAGATGGTTTTGAATAAACTGGTTGTTTCAAAATCCCTCCATATCTGATTACTTCATGGCAATCCATTCTTTTTTTGTCATTCTGTAGCACCATCAGAGACAGGATGATTTGCAAAGAAAGTGAAGATTTTTTTTTTTTGTATTTGTACTTTGCACTTACTATCAGGACAAACCCGATGGTAAAAATTCTTTTACCTGACTGTTAGAAATTCAATCTTACCCACTAGATTAGGACTTTTACCTATTTTGTACCCGAGAACCTTTGGGCAAAATCCATTAAACTCTAAATAATTTCCTTCCAATAAGTCTTCATACTGATCTGGAATTGCTTTCAAGAAAATGATAGTTTTAAAGTATGAACTATTCTCATGTAGTGTGTTCCTCTACTTGGTATTTATAAACTCACTGTGAGAACTAAAAAGCCTAAAGACACACAAGGAAATTGCATTTATCAAAAATACCATACTTATTTGAAAAAAAGAAAAACCTGTGGTAGAAACAGTCCTGGCCACAAGAGTATTTGAAATTTACAGTTAACATATTCAGCATTTCACTTTAGCTTTTTAAATTAAATCTTTGATGAAGTATCTTTATCTAATATAATAAAATCCACCGGAAACAATCCAGTTGGTACAGAACTGTACCATTAGTGATATTGTAGCAAATGCATTTAAACCCTAGGGTAGAAATTAGACTTGTTTCAGCAGCAGAGGGCATATATGTGCCAAGAATGGTTAAACTGTTACAGCAGTCCAATAAAAAATTATTTTATTTGATGATGCCCCTATTTCAATTAAGGCTTTTCCAGCTGGAAGTTTTTGGCCTTGTTGATTCAAGATTAATAGGCCGTGCTATTTGTTACTGCTAGGTAATTATTAATAATCACAGTTAAGAAAGGGTGGGCAAATTATGACCACGGGTCATTTACAGTTCTTACACTTTTGTAAGAGTTGTGAAACTGCTTTCAAAAGGCAAAATAAGAATAAGTTTACCTGTCCTTTAACTGCACACGTGTGATTAGTCACTCACATCATTTGAAAAAAATAACTACACCCAACCAACCCTGGACATTTCAGCTTTGCTCCTTCTGGGATCACATTGCTAAACTCCCTGTGGCTAAAACAATTACAGTATAATATTAATTCTGGTGACAAATAGGTTGCCCACTTTGACTAGAAAGGTCACATTCCAAAGGTTTATCTAAAAATGAAATGTTGATGACAAAGGAAGAACCTAATTATGGCATTTCTGCCATGAAAAATATTGGTGATGAGGTGAAGAAAAGATAAAATGGCAATCCTAATGAGGATGGCATCTTCCCAATCTCGATCATTTCCCCCAAATATATGATACAATTTAGGTTATAAATAACCTGATGTAGCCTCATCCCCACCTCTTTAGATGGTAATAAGTATTGTTTTAACTGTTCCAAAACGTGGTAAGTCTTGCTTACTATGACACGGTTGAAATTTTTAGCTTTTTTTTTTTTGCCTTAGGGCCTTGGGGAGCCCCAAACAAACAAGGCCTGGCCATGGCCTCCAGGCTGAAGTTAGTTATCTCTTTTCTCCAGGTGTTCTCTTCTACCTATACAGGAAATTTGTTGTATTTTTCTCCCTACACATCAAACCGAATAAAATTGAATGGTTTTTGATCCACCAACGATGCTGAGTATCTTGTAGCTACTCTTGATAACATTCCTCTAACAAACCCAAGCCTTGAATATTTTTGGATTCTGGGCACCTTAAATTGATTGCCTTTCTTTAATATTGCCATTCATTTTAATGGATTTTGACAAGCTATGTCATAACATATCGCCCACAATTCAGGCTGAGCATGCAAACGCCAGTATGGAACACATATCTGCAGACTTAGAAACAAGTCTTACAGGTTTCAAAGGAATGCATTAACACTAGGAACCTTAGCACATTGAGGCAATTAAGTAGCAGCCTTTCATTTATTAATGCTGCAAAATGGAATGTATTTCATAAATCATTTTCTTTGCAAAAAAACACTCAAAAGTTTATGAGGACCAAATCTGGGAAAGTTAGCAAAAAGAAAAAGAAAAGAAAAAAAGCTAAACCATTGTGGAGTACTAATGAAGTAATGCAACATTGTGCAAAACTGTAGAAAAAAATAAACGAAGGAAGCAGAAAAAGAGCTGTATTAATTTGCTTTAACCTGGGGAAGCTGTTGACAGCGGGACGCACACATTTGCTGGAGATGAAATAGTTCTGTCTTTTCCACCCTGTCAATCTACTGCTTGGATAGACTCAGTGAGGACCAACAATATGTTTTTAGTTGAGTTTTTCTTGCCTGAAGGCCTCCTGAACATCAGATGAACCGTTCTTCGCTCTTTTTTTTTTTTAAATTACAAACAACAGTTTCAGGAGCAAACAGTGGTTGAAAAAGTCACTCTTGATAAGAAAATTATCTGGGACTTCAATCCAAGTTAGGAAATAACCTTGCAAAACTCATATATTTCTTTAGAATTGCAACTGAATGGATTTTAAACATCTGTTCTTAGGCATCTGGGATGGTATGCTTGAGGTCATCAAATGTCAGTGTTTAAGGGCTGAGTTACTAGAACATAATGGGCATATTCCAGATTTAAAGCAAAACATAGTTTCTGTTTTATGTATACTCACTAGAAGACATAAACAATTAGCTGGGGAACACTACAGCATTACTAATTTAATGATTAGATATAGAGGAACATAATGGAGTGAGTTTCATGGAAGAATTAGGGCAGCTTTATGTACACCAAAGTAGCACCATAATCAACAGTGTTTTGAGGCAAGTTGGACAACACAAATATATAATGGACACAGAAGGAGTCTCTTTGCCAAAAAACAAATTGGTAGTGAGGGATTTGTTCTATTTTCATGGGGACAAGGTAAGAAAAATATGTGGAAAACTTTCTATTTGTGCTCACATAGAGTTTACTACTGCTGTAATACTTGAACAGCAGCTGTTTAAATCCTCTCCCTTGCCTCATCCAAACAAATATTACTGCTGCATCTTGTTTTGTTCCCTTTTTCTTCTTTGTTCATTGGCTTCAAACTTACATGAATGAATGGGCAAAGCAGTAGCAATGGGTATTCTATTAAAAGGCTTTTAAAAGAAACTATAATTGCAAGGCACAGCAAGTACTCTGATATCAGCATGAGTATTGCTTAGCCAAAAGTAAACACAGGAAGGAAGTGGGCAGGTAGGACTTCAGGGCTGGCCTATGTATCACCAGAAACCCACAAATCTAGCTTTTATTTATGAATTGGTAAAGGAATACAGATTTTAGGCATTCTAATATATTAAATATTAGGACTAGGCATATTATTAAAAAGAAGTCTTCTACAATGCAAAAGAATTTAGCTACATCATTACTGGACTTTGTGGGTATGAATAGATTTTTGTACATATACCCAAGCATTGTGAAGTAACTCTTTGGAAGGATTTGCATAGTCCCATTAAATATTAGTGAGATCTCTTTACCTGTATGCTCTACGGGCATCCCAAACATGTTAATTATAAAAGTCTAATATTCTTATGTTTTCCAAATGGTTTGAGAACATTAGAAGCACTTTTACATCATTGCAAAGTGGTTTTCTGTAGTATTTTTTCCCAATAACAAGCGCTTCATCTCTAAGCTCAGACAGATGCTTTGTTTCTAAAAAGACTTGCTTAATGATGTGTTGTCGTCTAGAACAGGGGCCTCCAGCTTGGCAACTTTAAGACTTCTAAACTCCCAGAATACTCCCAGGGTAATTCTGGGAGCTGAAGTCCACAAGTCTTAAAAGTTGCCAAGATTGGAGACTCCTGATCTTTTCCATTTTTCCTCACTTCTGGGTTTTAATCTATGTGCTTACATATTGTAATGTTATTGTTTACTTATTATTCAACTATTTTCAACGGAAAGGATCTTTTGCAATGCAGAGTCTTCTAAGTGATTAAGTAACTTCACGTTCAATATCTTGTATCAGAACTCAGGGATTCCCAAGAAAGCTTTAACTACTTGATATATGTCTTCTTATAGCACTTTTGTCCTTAGTACTCATTTATCAGCAGTTGCATTTCACTAGAACAGCAAGCACTTCTGATTGCTATTGACCTTGTTTTAAATACTGAAGTATCATGGTTCTTTATTTATTGCAGTCAGATCAAAATTCTAATTAATAGATGCCTCCCATTACATATTATTTAGCATATCATACTGTCTCATTCAAAGTTGGATCAGTGGAACCAAGAAAGTGAAAACCGGCTGTATTCATAACAGTTGAGACATTAATTGTACATATTGATGTGTTAGCTTACAGTGGAAGTTCCGGATTCATTTACAGAATGAATCTTTCCAGAATGAACTCAAGACAATTTGGTAACTTATATGTAATTCTCACATTGATGTAGGATATTGTTAAAATTAAATGAGAGATAGTTTGCTGTCTAAGATCTTCTGTCTGGGACGGGCACTCCGCTCTGAATCTACAATATGTTACAGTCACCCTCTTGTTTAGACACCGAATTTTATAGATACTATTTCAAAACAGGCATAAAATTCTCTGGGGAACTTAGTACTGGGTTCGAGATAGGGAGGATAGAAAGGATCATGGTCTACCTCCATGCTAGTGTTGGGGTCAAGGTCATCACATTCTGACTCTTCTGAACTGTTTGTCTCCTTTTGAGCAGCATGGAGAAAAAAAGAACAGAGTTTTGATCAGCAGAGAGATTAAAGAGAAGAAGAGCAGAGCAATTAAGAGCAACATAGAAATGGCCACCAATAACTCAAAAATACTTTCCAACAGAAAGTCACTAGGTGCAAGCAATACCATACTGGGCAAAATAAAAGGAAAAGTGTCTTTAAGTAATTTTGGAAAAACACATTAATGGAAGCAGCACTATGAAACACAACTTCTGCTATATCAGCTTTCCCATTTGGAAGGGCTCTTGGAACCTGGCTGACAAAATTATATCTAAATAACTTTTCCCATCCAATTCTGGCAAGTAAATAAGAATTCTGGAGGAGTCAAGAGTCTAGTGCTTCATTCAATCTTTTGGGATGTCTTTTTTTTTTTTTTAGAATTTCAGCCATGTGTATCAGATGTCAATCATTAATTTTTTTTGCATGTTTTACAACTGTAAGAAACTTGAACAGCCCAGAATTCAGAAGTGAAGCCAGTTTGAAAAATCTGAATGTCATTTTCTGATTTTGTATTTCTTAATTCCCACTTAGATAACTGTAAGCGCACAGCAGAAGGTATCACACTTGCTATGGCACTGCAGGGCATTCTTCCTCCATTCACTGGATTGATTGTTCAAGGAGGGAGGTGGCCACCAAATATATCTTATCCATGCTCTATCAGTGTTGACAGACTTGATCATCCTTTGGCAGAACACACACAACACCAAAACAGACACAACTGGATCTTGAATTTGGGTCCCCTCCCACCAAAGACATCGATAGGATTCATCCATAACGCGGGGTCTCTTCAATCACCATAAATGCTCATGAGATTTACAATATATAAAGAAGAGGAGGCATGACCTAATATATTATCTGTTCAAAAGAGGATTTGCTTTCAGTACTTGGATGCTCTGTTGCTTTTTAGCTTTATTTTGAGGACTAAAATTCCATTTTGTGTTAAAATAGCTGTTCTGAGCATGTTGTGTTAGAAAAATATATGCCTAGATTTCTACTTGACATTGTTAAATAAGTGTGATAGCAGCCCATTCTGATCACTATCAGTCAACAGCTGAAGAAAGATTGGCCAAGCCATAATTTAAATAATGTTGAAAACATTACACAATTTCTATATGGAAAAAAAATGGTTCCATTGTTTTCTCTTTGAAGTGATCTCAGACAATTTTCCCGCAGACTGGGTAGGAGGGTAGCAATTGTGTGCAAATAATTTAGGGAGCACAAGATTTCCCCCACCCGTTTTCTATGCTAGAACGCTGGACAGCATTTGTTTCATAGCATAGAACAGTTAAGCCAGTTTTGTTTGGATTTTGTTAGGATGCTGTCAACTCAGACAGCAAAAGAAAACATTTCAGAAAAGGCTGTTTTCTAAGCTTGAAACGGAAAAATATTTCCTGTGTTGTGCATATCTCTTTGTTTTTGTTTTGTTTTTAGCAAAAATCACAAATCAAAATTAACTTTTAAGAAATAGTAACAAAGAGTTTTGTGGCACCTTACGACAAATGATATAGAGTCCATAGCTGGAATTAGTATTTTAAACTGCAATTTTACATAACATAGTTGAGATAGGAAAGTAAATAAAAGTACAGTCAAAAGACAATAGATCTCATCCAACAAAGCTACCTGCTGCCAGGGCTTTTTTCATCCATGGTCCAGAAAACCTTTTCCACTGACAAAATGGACAAGAAGCAATTCTGATTGTCTGTTCCACTGAAATATTTGTGAGTTCCTTCGATTAAACAATGGTGGATCACCTGAAAGCAGGCCTGCTATGTAGCAGTGTGTGCCTTCTGGAATGAGGTTCTTCCAAAGATATGATTTAGAAAAGCCATGAAGAGAGCGGGCTCTTCAACCAGGTGCAAGGGAGATTTCTCATTTCAATCTCTCTGATCTGTTGCACTTGTCACCCTTTATTAATTTTATTGTAATTTGTTAACTGTGAGTCCCCACCTGGGTTATTGAGAATTCAGCAGCACATTACATAGATAGATAAATAGATAAATAGATGGATGGATGGATGGATGGATGGATGGATAGATGGATAGATGGATGTGTGGATGATCTGTGTGTTTCTGGGAAGCGGTGAGAATTTGCAAACCAGCCACCCAGATCCCAAACTCCCTCTTCCCACTTTACGAGTAAGAATAATTTGAAGAAATTCCTGCCAATGTAAGAAAATTCTTAATCCATTTCATTCACAATTACTTTATTGATAAAGCAATTCTGACAAATTACAAGATTATTTTATCAAAAATAAAATGTTTACCCATCTAAATGTTCAATTTTGGTAGATCATGCCAGAATAATAATGGAATTAATAATCTTGTCAAAATTATTCTTTAACAGTCTGGGTATTAGGAGTGGATAATACTTCATTTCTTTTCACTTTAATGTTTATTTAATATTTGATATAATTGCTTTGTATTATGTGCTATATGGGATCTTAAAGCCGCATGATCAGAATAATACATATTAGTTTTGAAAAAAATGGGATTAAACAAAACATTGTCCTCTATGTAGAAAAGATAACTTTATATTTAGTGTTAGGAAAAACACTCCAAATCTTATATGCTCTTTTACCTTGCTGGCACAGCATTTATTATTTAGATCTAACATGCTTAGAAATAAATTTAAAAAAGAACATTTCTGCAAAGGATGAGTAAATTTAAATGTACTAGAACTATTAGCTAGGATTTTAATATTGTATTCTGATATATGTGAATTTGTTTTCTTGAAAGTTATAATCTTGGTTTAAATCAGAAGTGGGATTTTAATGGAATGCAGTAAAGTGAAATGATGACAAACACTAATGATTCATAGTACTTTCCGGTTGATAAATATTTTCCATCTCTGTGGAACTGTAAATATCTATTTGTTTTTACACAGATGGCATATTTGAAATTGTTCAGATAAAATAGGGTTCCTCTTGTCTTTCATAGTTACAGGGGAGGAATTCTTCAAGAATGGGGATTGTAGCAATTGCACGGATTCTTCCTTCACCCCAGTTATGAAAAATACAGAAGTTCTATCCCAGTTTACAGCAATTACAAGAAATAGAAATACATGTATTTCTATTTCTTTCTAACATCTGTTACTTCCATGAAACAATGCAAACACAAACCTGGGAAAGATTAATTAAAAAAGAAAGTAAAACACATTTGTTATAAGAACACAAGTTAAAATTTGCAATATCCTGCTGAATGAAGTTGAATTTGGATAAGAACTTTCTGTGACATAGAAACAGAGATCTGCTTAATTTTAGAACAGGATTTAAAGTGGGGGGGAGGGGAGAAGAAATACAATATAGAGCTAAGTTCTATTTGTACCATTCTCCCAGAATGTAAGTTTTTGTTTTGTATCAAGTCTTGTTCTGGTATCAAAAACAAATAGCATCAAACATCAATGTTCAAGGAAGTTTATAAAGGAAACATACATTTATAAATTATGCTTCAGTAGTATCTGCATAAGACAGGGGTCTTCAAACTTGACAGCTTTAATTCTTGTGGACTTCAACTCCCAGAATTCCTCCTTCAGTCATGTTACCTCAGGAATTCTGGGAGTTGAATTCCACAAGTCTTAAACTTGCCAAGTTTGAAGACCCTTGGCATAAGACCAGTGGTGCAATTCAAATATTTTTACTACCAGTTCTGTGGGTGTGGCTTGGCAGGGGAAGGATACTGTAAAATCTCCAGTCAGAGGTGGTATTTGCCGATTCTCTGAATTACTCAAAATTTCCACTACCGGTTCTCTAGAACTGGTCAGAACCTGCTGAATACCACCTCTGCATAAGACAATCCTGAGAATATGGGCAAAGAATTGATAACTTGGAACAATAGTTCAGTTGTTCAAGCCTCATTCATTCCTATTCTATCCTGTCAGGTTTTTAAGTGATTAAGAATTGACTCTTAATTGCCTGATCCAAGTTACTGTTGAAATCAATGCCAGAAGATATTCTGGGATATGACAGCTGGTTTCAGTGCTCTTGAGGTTGTTTACTCAGTGTAACATATGGCAAGAGAAAGTGTGAAAATCTAATTCTCATGAATGTCACAATGGGTAGATTTTACTCAAATCTCTTAAGAATTTTCCCCCTCACATTTGAATAACAGTACAAACTTTCAAAAAGATAGCAGGTGATTTGACAATAGTTTTATAGTGTTTATTTTTAATTGCATTTTTTCAGCTCACTTGGAATCTGTGGATCTATCAGAGTAAATCTTTGACGGGGCATTTCTTAATCTTTCTCTCTATAGTATGGACTAGATCTAACAATAGAAAAAATGGACAATTCTATTGAATCCATATTTTCTGGATTGAAGTATCTATTGAATACAACTCATATGCTATTTAAATTATACAACTGCACAAGACAGATTACATAAAACAATATATGTCAATTCTATTGAGATAGGAAAAGGGAAAGCTGCAGTTTTCCACCTCTCCAGGCCTCACAAAAGTTTTCAAAGAGTGATGGTGATATTACTATTACTATTGTTACAAATCAATCCACTGCAGGATGAAAGCATCTTCAATGAGAGTTATGGACTACGAACTATCATGTCAATCTAGTGCAGGTTGATAGATGTATGATTTTGTACTTCTCAGGCTAGAGTGGAGCGTGTACAGTTGGTCCCAAATCATCTAACCAGCTTCCATATCCTGTTTCTAGTCCAGCATATAACATCACACTAGTTCTCTTTCAAAGGTATATCAAACTATGCATACTTGTTTAATGAAGAATTACCAAGTTTGGGCTATAATATAAACAAACAAAATTTGTTGGGCTATAACATAAACAAACCAAAATTTAATGGAAATAGGTACCATTGACAGCAGTGATGTCTTCTGTATTTTTTAGTTGCCATCAATAGCTTCTAACCAATTGAACTGGGGACAACAACAGGAAGAAAGTTTGTTGTTTGTCCCCACTACTATCTCTTAAGCTATGTACATATATACATCCAAACTAGACTGTGTTGTTTCTCTGTGTCAAATATGTGGGTACATGCACATATATGTGTTTATTTATTTAGTCATGTGTAGGTAGTTTATATTGGAGGTTGTGACCCTTCGAGAGCTGTATGCAATGAAATTTCATTTTAATGTATGTCGATTAGTGTACAAAGTGACAATAAAGTTATTCTATCTATCTATCTATCTATCTATCTATCTATCTATCTATCTATCT